TGATTGAATCGATGTATGGCGTCTTTATCTTGCTGCATATCGGGTCTTCTTGGATTGAAGAGTCAGCTGAATCTTCAACACATTCCTTTGCCATCATACAAGGTAATGATTCCTGCCAATCTGTTTCTTCATCTGAAACTTGGTTTTCTGCTTCCTGAGTTGCTTTTTTAGGTGCTGGAGGTTGAAGTTGGGACAGAAGATGTATTATTTTTCTCTCAAATCCCAGAGGTGAATCTGAACGACAAGCTCCCGCGGTCAGAGGCGTCGCGACCGCGGGAAAAGGAGCCTTGGCCGCGGTCGGAACGCTCGGACCCGCAGCTCCGGATATAATTCGCTCATAGTCCGTTTCTTCCTTCTTGTACTTGACACGAACTTCTCCAGCTTCTTTATTTGGTAGACCAGCATCATATGAACTCATACCAGGGCGTTTTTGTGCATCTTCATCAGGATCTTTCGGAGATTTCTTACAAAATCTCTCAATTTGCTCAATGTTGGGCATCTGTTCCATTCTTGCATCAATCTCCCGTGCTTTGAGCTCGAGTTTGTTCAGCCTGTGCTCGATCTCCTGCAACTCTTCGTCTGTCTTCTCTCTATACCAGGAGGCGGATTCTCTGACTTCTTTGATCTCCTGCTTCGATTCAACAATATCGCTTGAGTTTTGTATGATGTCATACCCTTGTCTTGTCTGCTCTGTTGCGACTTGGTGGATCATCCCAGCTAGTGTTTGTGCGTCTTTGTGGGTTTGTTCTTCCAGAACTCGAACATGATTGGCCAGATCATCGAATTTTCTGTGGAACTCTTCAGAGATTGAATCAATTCTCTTGAGCAGGGTGTTTTCGGTGAGAATCTGCTGATCAAGGAACTGGTTTATCATTCCTTCGAGGCGTCCCAAACGTCTGCTGATCCTCAAGTTGTCCTCTTGCTGACTAGGGTTCTGCAGTGGAGGATTATAGGTGTGTGGCTCGAAGTAGGTCGGAGGAGGACCATAAGGATCTTCCCGGCGTCCTAACATGCTCTCTGCGCCGGTGGTATGGATGATTTGGCTGGCTGTATCGATCCATGTAGCTAAGATCTCGGGCTTGGTGTTCTTCTCTGCGTCTGGTGGCTTGAGGAGTGTTATAAAAACCTTCCTCATAGTGTGGATTTCGATTTATAGGATCCATATCTTCTGAAATGGAAACAAAATAACCCAAAAAATGGAAATATGCAGAAAAAGGGGTTCTAGAGTCGATTTACCAACCTTTCTTAGGGTTTTGCAGAAAAGAAAACGCGTGCCTTCCCCGGCAACGGCGCCAAAAACTTGATGTGGTCGTGTGTGAGGGTTGTCAAGTTTTACCCTAAATGAAAGGGGAAGCTCAGGCGCCTGGCTCTCAAGAAATATATGTGAATGTTCTCCTTAGTTTCCATGCTATATATGAAGAAAACTTGCAGACAACCTAGCTTCTAAACATCATAAGAACCTTTGCAGAAAGGAATTGAGTTCACAAATTTGTTAAACTCTATGAGTCTTTCTCTAGATGTGCTTTTGGTCCTTGGTTCCTCATAGGTTGGTAAATTGTTTCCTGATAAATGATATCCTGCATTTGCTTTCTCAATAAACAAACCATAATGATGTGGTCGTGTGTGAGGGTTGTCAAGTTTTACCCTAAATGAAATCAATAGCCGCAAGTGCACAGCTGATCGATTGTAGTACTTAGGGATCGAATCCACAAGGAAGGAGGATCTTTCCTGCAAAAGCCTTCGAAAGAAATATAAAGTAAGGAAGTCTAGAACCAGGCGAGTTTTGTGAGGGTTTTGGTGGTGTGTCTAAAATGTAAAAAACGAATCCTAAAGAGAAAATACGGTAATTAAAATGACCTAATAACTAAACTTAACGAAAACGGGTAAAAACGAGAAAAACGACTAACCTAATTGCTTAAATGAAAATCGATTGAAAGAGTAAATAAACTAGACTAAAGCTTGAATGAAAATCGGTGTGTAAATCTATAAGAAAAGAGGCGCTGGGGTTCAGGGAAGTTTTCTCAAGGGTATGAATGATTCAAAACATTGCTAGAGAGTAAATTAGATAAGATCTTAGCTTAAACTTTTCGAACTGGAGTCAAGGACGTATGAATACGCCACTGTTGTGATCATAGACAACTATCTCTCTCAACCCTGACCAGTAGGTTTCCACTCTGGCCCTCGAAAAGAAGAGATGCATTATGTTTAAGACTCGTCAGCATTCACAAATCGCCCATAGGTAGATTTTCACTCCTATGTTTGTTTTGCTCTCCCAAACTAGATCTGACACCGGATGAACACTTTTGTGTCACCAAGCATCTGGATCAGATTGTAGTTCATGACGCTACTGATGAGTGGAGATTTTGACTCATTCTAACTTGTGTTTACTAATTGTTTTAGGAGTTTTTGGAGTCTTTTCAGGAAGTTTCAGGTGACTTAGAGGCCTTATCAAAGGATTGGAGTGTTTAGGAGGCATTGGAGCAAAAGGAGATGAATTTGAGCAATAAGGAGCTATTTCACACGTTTTTGGAGAAATCATCCCCGGAGCACCTGCTCCCGGTTTGGACCCATCGGAGCACCTGCTCCAGACGGGAGAAAAATAAGGAAATCGACTTTTACCTAATTTTGGGAGGAGAAAGAGAATAAAAAGCCCACAGCCGCCTGTGTTTTAGGATCACGTTTTTCTACAGACTTTCTACGCTTTTTTTTAGAATTTCCGGAACCAGAGAGTTTTTACTTGTAAGCTTTTGGGAGAAGAAATCTGCTACACTTTGAGAAGAATTCTGAACCCTATTATCTCTTCTGCGATTTTAATTCATGAATTCCTTTCCATCTGTTTCTGTGTTTCTTTTCTCCATGTCTGAGTAGATCTCTTAGCTAGATTAAAGCGTTCAAAGGATTTCATGAGTTAAAGAATTAGATGCAAATAGGGCTTGATATCTATTGTCTTCACCATTGTTAGACTTAATGCTTAGGTTGAATTGATCACTCAATCTGCGATTTTAGGTTAATCTGTTCATCAAAAGTGTAATAGGTTGCTAGAATAAACATTGGTGAGCGATTTGTCCTTAGCCAACGACAGTTGAAGTTAAGGCAAATCGTGAACAGATCAAACCTGCTAGCTAATGCTTGTCTGCAATTTTCTAGGTTCAAACGACAGTTTAGGATTTAGGTTGTTAGACAAAGTTATCGAGATCACGACAGTGGATCGATAAGCTTTTCTGTTTGAGTTCGAGACTTGCGTTACACTTGTGCCCTGAATAGTCATCTGGTTCTTATCTCTGAAATTCCTGCGAATTGCTTTGGTCTAGTGCTTGTTTTAATTTGAATTTAAATCGTTGTTTGCCATTCTGTTACTTTTTAGTTTTCAAAACAAACCATCTTTCGTCTTAGCTTTAATTCAATCCTCACAAATTCATAGAGTAACACTGGTCCTCTGGATTTCGAATCCTTTATATTACAACTACATCACTGTTCTATTGCAGTAGAAACTAGGAGTAATTCCGGTGTGAATCAAATTTTGGCGCCGTTGCGACGGGGACCAATTCGTTACCTTTGATTTTTGGTTTGAAATTCAGACTAAGGCTTTACTAATTTTTCTCTCTTGTTCTCTTGTTTGCATGTGTTTCAGGTGTATGTCAAACATATCCACAAGGAGCAACTGCACCGATCTTGTTTCTTTGTCGAACACCGATCTAGCAAGAGTCGAGCGAGAAAACAGACGTCAAAGGCCTATTCAAGCCAACATGGGCGATCAAGGCAACAATGGCAACATGGCTGTCGAGGTTCAACAGCTTCGACAACAATTGGAGCAGCTGCAAAAGGCGCAGCAAGACAGGGAGCAGCCACAACCTGCTATTGGAGACAAGGACAGTCCGCACGCTTACTATCACAACAGGGCTGCGATTGCTCCTCCAACCATTCAGAGGCAAGACTTTGAGATCAAACCTCAGCTGATCTCATTGGTGAAGCAGCACCTCTTTCATGGGCTTCCTGCTGAGATTCCGATGGACCACATCGAGAATTTTGAGGAGATTTGCAGCACGACTGGATCAAATGGGATACCAGCCGATTTCTTGAAGTGCAAGCTTTTTCCATTCTCACTTGCGGACAAAGCTTTGCGCTGGCTGAAGTCATTACCACCTGGGTCATTGACTACATGGGAAGAGTGCAGATCAGCATTTTTGGACCATTTCTACACTAAGGCCAAAACTGCAGCTCTGAAGAACAAGATCTCGTCGTTTAAACAGGAACCTGGTGAGGCTTTCTGCGAAGCTTGGGAGAGGTACAAGGAGTACCGAAGAGAGTGCCCTCACCATGGGTTCTCTGATGAGCAGATTCTGTCAACCTTTTATGATGGTGTCAACTGGGATTACAGGAATGCCTTGAATGCAGCTAGCAATGGCGATTTCATGACTAAGTCCAAAGAAGCTGCTTATGAGTTGATTGAGAACTTAGCTGCAAGCTCCAGCAACAAATCCCAAGAGTATGACAGGTCTAGCAAACCAGTTCATAGTGTGGAGTTGAGCAAAATCGATGAGCTTACAGCAAAGGTGAATCTGCTGCTGAGGGAGAACCAGAGATCTGTGCATTTTGCTGATGAGGTCGGTGATGCACCTCTTGCTCAAGAGTTTGTAGATGCAGAGAATAATGATCAGATGGAGGTAAATTTCGTGAATGGACAAGGGTATGTGCAGAATCGCAGTTTCAACAACTTCAGAAGCCACCCGAATTTATCCTACAGAAGCAACAATGTTGAGAACCCTCAGGATCAGGTCTATCCGCAGCAAGGAGTGCAGAATCAGTCAGGATTTCAGAAGAACTTCTCCAGCAACTTCCAAGGAAAGCAGTTCATCACCAATCAGAATCGATTTCAAGGTGGAAATCAGCAGAAGTTGCCTTTCACAAGTCTACAGCCTTCTTCGAGTTCCTCAAATAACTCGCAGGATGAGCTGAAAAACTTGATGTAACAGCTGCTGGTTAATCAGCAAAAGTCTTCCATGGAGATTAATGCCAAAGTGGACACCATGTACAATGATTTGAATGGCAAGTATGAGGCTGTGTGGACTCATGTGAAGAAGCTGGATGTTCAGGTAGCTCAGACTGCAGAAGCTGTAAAGAGATCACCTGGAACTCTCCCTGGAAAAGGTGAAAATCCCAGGAATGAGTTTGTGAATGCTATTGAGCTTAAAAGTGGGAAGACTCTACATGCTGCACCAACAAGCTCTGTCTCAGAAAAGAGGAAGAAAAAGGACGTGGAGCACCTGCTCCAAGAAGAGGAACCAGCTCATGACGTAAAAAAGACGAAGGAGCACTCTTCCTCCATCGGAGCACCTGCTCCAAAATCTGGAGCACCTGCTCCAGACGTAGATTTGACGAGGGAGCACCCTGAGCCAACGAGGGAGCACCTGCTCCAGCCACCTGCCCCAGCAAACATTCCTGCAAGAGTTTACACGCCTAAGGTACCTTACCCAGTTCCACAAAAGAAGTCTCGCAAGGACTTAGAGGATGCAAAGTGCAGGGAGATGCTGAAGGATTTGACTGTAAAACTCCCTCTAGCTGATGCTGTTAAGATGATACCAGCCCTTAAAAGATACATGAAGGGGTTAGTGTCTGGGAAAGCTGTTGAGGAAGAGAGTGTCATGATGGTTTCGAAGGAGTGCAGTGCTGTGCTTCAGAAAAGAGAAGTGATCCAGGAAGGTTTGTTCTCTCGGTTAGGATTGGGAATGTATTGTTTGCAAGGTCTCTCTGCGATCTGGGTTCAAGTGTGAATCTGATGCCTTACTCTGTAGCCAAGCGATTGGGTTACACCAGATTCAAACCGACGAAAATCTCGCTGGTATTCGCTGATAGATCAACCAAATTCCCTGTTGGTATACTTGAGGATCTGCATGTTCAGATAGGTGATACACTCATTCCAGCAGATTTTGTGGTTCTGGAGCTTGATGAAGAACCCAAGGATCCTTTGATATTGGGTCGATCCTTCTTATGCACAGCTGGTGCAATCATAGATGTGAAAGAAGGAGTGATAGATCTCCAGCTGGGAGATATGGTGGTGCGATTTGAGATGAATAAACTCTTCAAGAAACCAATGCTGGACGGACAGACATTTGTCATAGATGATGGTTCAGGCATTGCTGAAGAGGTTGCTGAAGAGGTTTTGGCCATCGATCCTCTCGAAGTTGCACTCACCAAAGCTGAAGGAGAACATGGGTATTTGAGTGAAGAAGCTGATGGGTTTGCAAAAATGCTGAATGCAAGCACGAGAATGCAAAGGCAGGTTGATACGATTCGAGGAGATCAACTCTGAAGATAAGGCAACAGGCGAATTGAGATCGTGACTTGGAGGGACAGATGCGATGATATTGGTGTGATGAAGCGATGGTGGCGCGATGAGAGATCGATGGAGGGAGATGGTGGTGTGATGCGGCGGATCGATGGTTTGAGATGGTGGTGGATGGATTCGTCGATGGATCGTGAGAGGGATATGATGGTGATAGCAGAATCTCTTGTAAACAGATTAGTTTTAAGAGATTCGAATTTCAGAGTTTTTAGTTCTCAGAAATCGAAAAGAGAGAAGAACACGTTAAAAGTTTGATCAAAATTCTTCACTGAATATCACCTAGGCGATTTTCTCTTTTTTATAGACTAAGAGAGAAAATCGCAGCCCTAATAACAAAACAACATGGAGTTTGAAATAAAACAACAAGAAGTTTAATTTAAAAATAAAACAGCGAGGCGTCCCTTCTAAACCTAAGTGGTGCGCCTAAAACAACTAGTGCACAAGTCATTGTGACTTTGCACATTATTACCCATTAGTAACAACTTCTAAGTAACTCGACGTAGCAATGATTTCTGCCTCGTTAAAAACCTTGGAGAAGAACCTCCTTGCCTTCCAAAATCTTCACCAAGGAAAAGAGTACAGAACCATCACCTAAGTTACCTAGTCATTGTTACTGGGTTCCTCATTCTTCAAGATAGAGATGTTGAAGATGTGAGCTCCAGCCTCCTGGTGATCGCTGTCCTCTGTGGCAATGAGTGCGTGAGCCTCCTTAGCCATCTCTCTAGCTCTGGAACGAGTGATCCTGCCAGCTACCTCTGGTTCCTCCTCCTCTGAGCTGGTCACGATCATATCATCCTCTCCCTCTTGAAAAGGATTTGTCCTCAAATCTGAATCTGCAACATAAGGAAGCAAGTCAGAAACATTGAAAGCATCAGAAACGTCATACTTACCTTGAAGATCAATCTGATAGGCATTGTTGTTGATTCTTTTGATGACTGCGAATGGTCCATCAACTCTGGGCATTAGCTTGTTCTTTCGCTCAGCTGGAAATCGCTCCTTCCTCAGATGGATCCACACCAGATCTCCTTCTTCGAAAATCAGTTCCTTTCGTCCTTTGTTGGCATGCTTCTCATACTGCTTTGTCTTTTTCTCGATATTCTCCTTAGCCTTAGCATGAATTCTTCTGACCTGTTCAGCTTTCTCCTTGCCATTCAAACTGCATTTTCCACTTAAAGGCAAAGGGATCAAGTCTAGAGGTGATTGTGGATTAAACCCATATACAATTTCAAAAGGAGAAAAGAGAGTAGCAGAATGCTTAGCGTGATTGTAAGCAAACTCGACATGAGGCAGGCACTCTTCCCATGTCTTGAGGTTACTTTTCACCAAAGTCCTTAGAAGTGTGGACAACGTTCTATTCACCACCTCGGTCTGTCCATCGGTCTGAGGATGACACGTAGTTGAGAATGAGAGCTTTGTTCCCAGCTTAGCCCAAAGCGTTCGCCAAAAGTGTCCTAAGAACTTCGTGTCTCGATCTGAAACGATAACCTGTGGCATTCCATGCAGTCGTACTACTTCCCTGAAAAACAAGTTAGCTACATTCACAGCATCATCTGTCTTGTGGCTAGCGATGAAGTGAGCCATCTTGCTAAACCTGTCAACAACTACAAAAATAGAATCTCTACCATTTCTGGTGTGAGGTAAGCCAACTACAAAATCCATAGAGATATTAGTCCAAGGTTGAGAAGGAATAGGCAAAGGAGTATACAAACCGTGAGGCTGAACTTTACTCTTAGCCATCTTACATACGACACATCTAGAGCAGATTTTCTCAACGTCCTTCTTCATGTTCGGCCAGTAGAAGTGCTCTTGTAGCCCAAGAAGTGTCTTTGTGACACCGAAATGTTCAGCTAATCCACCTCCATGAGCTTCTCGTACCAGTAACTCTCGAATAGATCCTCGTGGTATGCACAATCGGTTACTGAAGAACAAGTATCCATCCTGTCTATAAAATTTCTCACAGGCAAACTTATGACATTTCGCATAGCTCTCAGAAAAGTCAGTGTCAGATTCATAAAGATCTATAATATGCTCAAATCCAATCAACTTTGATGTTAAAGTCGAAACAAGAGTGTACCTCCGGGATAATGCGTCTGCGACCACATTATCTTTACCTTTTTTGTACTTAACAATGTAGGGGAATGTCTCAATGAACTCCATCCATCGCCCATGTCTTTTGTTAAGTTTCTGCTGACCCTTGAGGTGCTTCAGAGACTCGTGATCGGTATGAATGACGAATTCCTTAGGCCATAAGTAATGCTGCCACGTCTGGAGAGCTCGAACCAATGCGTATAACTCCTTGTCATACGTGGGATAATTCAGCGTTGATCCTCCTAACTTTTCGCTGAAGTAAGCGACGGGCTTCTTATCCTGCATAAGAACTGCTCCAATACCTACACCAGAAGCATCGCATTCAATCTCAAAAGTCTTAGTAAAATCAGGAAGTACTAGTAAGGGCGAATTGATAAGCTTCTCTTTAAGGGCTGTAAAAGCCTGTTCTTGCGCCTCTCCCCACTTGAACCCCACGTCTTTCTTGATTACTTCGGTTAAAGGCGCGGCTATGGTGCTGAAATCACGAACAAAACGCCTGTAGAATCCTGCTAAGCCATGGAAACTTCGGACTTCTCCAATATTCTTGGGGGTTGGCCACTCCTTGATAGCTTTTATCTTCTCTTCATCTACTTTAACTCCTCCTGCACTTACTACAAAGCCTAAGAAAACAATCTCGTTAGTGCAGAATGAACATTTAGATAAATTAGCAAAGAGAGATTGAGAGCGAAGAACATCAAGAACCGATCTGATGTGATCTAGATGTTCTTCCAAACCTTTACTGTAGATGAGGATATCGTCGAAATAAACCACTACGAACACGCCAATGAATGGTCTCAGGGCATGGTTCATTAGTCTCATGAAGGTGCTGGGAGCATTGGTGAGGCCAAACGGCATAACTAGCCACTCGTAGAGTCCCTGCTTTGTCTTGAATGCCGTCTTCCACTCATCCCCTTCCTTCATTCTGATCTGATGATATCCACTCTTCAAGTCGATCTTAGAGAATATTGTCGACCCACAGAGCTCATCCAGCATATCATCTAGCCTTGGGATCGGATGCCGATACTTCACAGTGATGTTGTTGATAGCTCGGCAGTCTACTCACATCCTCCAGGAACCATCCTTCTTTGGCACCAACAGAACTGGAACCGCACATGGACTCAAGCTTTCTCGGATATGGCCTTTGCTCATCAGCTCCTCCACTTGCTTTTGCAGCTCCTTAGTCTCTACAGGGTTGGTTCGGTATGCTGGCCTGTTAGGTAAGGCTGATCCTGGTACCAAGTCAATCTGATGCTCTATCCCGCGAATTGGAGGTAGCCCTGGTGGAATTTCTACTGGAAAAACGTCCTTGTATTCCTGCAAAATCTCAAACATAGCACTAGGAAGCTCCTGTGAAGGGTTAGTACTAACAAGGGATTCCTTGTACACAAACATAAAAGTAGTCATTTCAGGATCAAAGAGTTTAGAAAATTCACTGTGGTTTATGTAGAGGCTGTTGGCGACTTTCTCCTTCTCCTTGAGCTTCATTTGAACTTGATCTTGATAAATCTCGGTAGGCGTGAGAGGTAGGAGGGTAAATTTGCGACCTTTGAACTCGAATGAGTGCTTGTTGGTGTAACCGTCGTGTATCACCCTACGATCTGATTGCCACGGTCTGCCTAGCAACACATGACTCGAACCCATGGGAATGACGTCACATAGAATCTCATCTTCATACTTCCCAATGGATAGAGAAACCATCACTTGCTGAGATACGGTCAAGGCTCCACTGTCATTCAACCACTGAAGCTTATACGGCCTTGGATGAGGAATAGTCTTGAGCTGGAGCTTCTTAACCATCTCTTCGCTTGCAGCATTAGTACAACTTCCTCCATCTATGATCAGGCTACAAACTTTTCCTTGAATGAAGCATCTCGTATGGAACAGGTTCTCTCGCTGACAAGTCTCTTCAGGTTGACTCTGAACACTCAAAGTCCTTCTGGCAACCAGCATCTCGCCCACAGCAGCAGCTTCTTCCTCTTCCTCTAATTCATATTCGGCCTCTGAATCCTCTTGAGGAACTATCTCTCCTCCCTCATGTAACAAGAAAACCTTCTTGTTTGGGCAATCTCGAGAGTAATGTCCCATTCCTTGACATTTGAAACACCTCACATTGCTGATAGAAGTGCCACCTCGAGGCTTGAACTCAGCTTTAGCTTCTTCTTTAACTCCAGTAGATGGCGGTTTGATGTCTCTGGAGTAAGCTGGCTTGCTGATCTCCTTAGGCTTAGGCACACTAGGCGTGAATGTGGACTTGAAATTTCGCCTCTTGACTTGAGATTCCACCAATTCAGCCTTATGCACCATGTCTTGTATATCTGCGAAATCCTGAAGTTCCACCTTGTCTTGAATTTCTCGGTTAAGTCCTCCAAGAAATCTCGACATTACCATCTCTTCGCCTTCTCGTAAATCTGCACGAATGAGCAAAGTTTCCAATTCTTGATAATAATCTCGAACAGACTTCGTACATTGGACAAGGCGCCTAAGTTTGTTGAGTATCTCGCGCTGATGATGGGCTGGAACGAACCGCTTCCTCATCTGTATAACAAGCTGATCCCAAGTAGTAATCGGAAGTTCCCTCAGGCGATTTCTGGTGACTCCCAACTGCTCCCACCATAGAAGCGCATACCCATGAAATTTTGAAACTGCAATCTTCACCTTGTTGAGCTCATAAGTTCCTTGGACCAGAAAATTAGACTCCATCTTCCTTTCCCAATCTAGATAAGCTTCGGGATCATTGGTTCCATGGAAAGGAGGATACTGGATTTTGATATGACGCAGCTGCTGACGTAGAGGATCATAATCTCGAGCATGTCCTCGGCCTCGATCTCGTCTCACAGTTTCTCTGCTATGATCAGAAGCTTCGTCTTCCTCATAGTATT